CCGGGTCCCTCGGAAACGCAGTCGCGCCATGTCTTCGCCGCCCGAGGGGAAGCTAGAGACGAAAGCTGGACACCCGCCCGCCGGTACTGACTCGTTCCCACTCTCTGTCCTCACGCGTGTCCCCGGGGCGGGCTCGACCCCGCGGGTGTGGGGCGCCGGGTGGGGGAGTCCCGGGCTCACGGCCCGGGCGCGGGGACGTGTCCACTCGTGGGGCTCTCGGGTCGTCAGCCCCGCGCGGCGAGGCCCAATGTCTGCAGCGTCTGCGCACGCCGCGAGCCCGTGGCCGCTGCGCGCGAACGGCAGGGACTCGAGTCAGCCCCGTGGCACAACTTCCAGAAGGAAACCGGGGGCGGTGTGAACACAGAACGCGTACGTTTCGGAAAAGCGAGCAGCCGCCACGAGGAAAGGCCAAGTGCTTTTCATTAGCGTGGGGATGAGTGGTTGTGGGCGACGGCGTTTGTGCGGACGGCAGGCCCGAAGGAGCGGAACTGCTGCTTACCGTTCATCGCGCAACGTGACTTTTCCCCCCGCGGCGTCTTTCACATCAGCTTTTTTTTCCTCCAAAAGGGGGGGGGTGTCTGTGTGTGTGTGTGTGTGTGTGTGTGTGTGTGTGTGTGTGTTACGGTTTTCTTTTTCTTTTCTCTTCTCCCCCCCCAAATTCTAACTTCTGAGCCAAGGAAGTTAAATCCAGGAAAGAGTCCTGTTTCTTAGAAAAGCTGAATCGGAGTCACCTTTCGGTTCCTCCCGCCCCCGAGCCCGGCTCCCGTCGGCTCCGTGCGCCGGCTGTCCCTGCTCACCTTTGCACGGGGGACGGGGACTTGTGGAAGGACCCTGGGAGAGAATGACAGGCCGCGGGGTCCCAGGAGCCGCGTCGCCTCAATGGTGCCGTTCGTGCCATAAACGGGGCCTTCGGAGGACAGCCTCCGTGACACGTGGCTGCTCGGTGTGGCCCCTTTGTGCCACCTCCTTAGGGAAGAGAAATGGCGATCCGATGCCTGGGGACTTGAGCGGCTTGGGATTTTAGAAAGGAGTGCCACCGCCATGGGAAATAGGCTCGGGGGGCCTTTGTGTTGCATTACTTAAAAGAAAAGAAAAAGTACCTCAAAGAGATGTCCTTTGGAGAGAACTCCATCTTCAGTTCCTGCCCCAGCAGCTGCCCCCCACCAGCTGCCGACAGCCTGGGCAGCTCTGCATGAGGCCACCGTCCTTGACGCTCCCCTGTGCCAGGGCGATGAGTGGCAGGAAAGCATATGGTCCGAGGGACACCAAATCGAAGTAGTTGTGACAGAATTGCATATCGAGACATACCTGTGTGGAGGTGTCTAAGATCAGAGACATGAACCGGACACAGGAACCCCCTGGGAGAAAATCCGTGAAGGACTCTGGTTTTCTTTGGGTTGAGAACAGCTAGGCTTTGTGAGTTACAAGTTAAAATCGCTTATTTATGCAAAGGACGGAGGACCCAACTAATTTGTGCTGGTGTAGCAGTGAACTTGTGTTCTAAGCTTGGAAGCCCGGCGCTTCTCCAGGGCTCAGTTTTCCTAATTTATGAAATGGGAGGTTTGGGCCAGACCATCTAGGAAAGGCAGAGCAAGGCTGCCTCTGCCCCTTGAAACGCTGGCGCTCCACCCCTTCCGTCCATCAGAACTGGAGTCCAAGGGCGGTTAAGCCACAGATAAACCCCTCAAGTGACTTGAGCCTTTGGGGCCCCGGTCGCGCTGCTTAAGGAGCTGTCGCTGTTATTCCCCGCTTTCCAAGGCCAGTCACACTCGGCCGGAGCTGGAGAGAGCGCCTGGCATCCTGGCCGGAGGTGCAGGTGAGACAGGGGCCTTTGGTCAGTTGCGGTATTCTGCCTCCCAGCGGTGCCCCTCGGGCCCACTTGACCCAGTGCAACAGAGGACCCTGTGGGAAAGCCCTGTGACAGAAAGTTGAGGGTATTCTTGTTTACTCTGGCGAGGTGAGAGTAGGCAGAGTAGATGTTAAAAGGAAAAAAAATCAACCCACTATAGTAAAGGATAATCATCAAGGATAGCCAAGAGCACAGTTCTTAGGTTAAAATAACAGCCTTGACAACTTCAGGAACGCTTTCATTAAGTGCTTAAATTGGATAACACAGACTTGCGCTTAAATCCTCAATCGGAAACAATAAAAGTCTCTTCCTTGACTATCTTCATGTTCTTTTGTGTTTTCTCATTATTGTCTGAACCAGAAACTCTCCTGTGCATTCCCACATCCGGTTTCCTTGTCGCGCTTACCTTCACCTGGCTGCCTCTCCTGTCCTTGCTTCCTGGGCTGGGCGTATCGCTGTCTTCATCCCCGGGGCCTGGCACAAAATACTCAGCCAGCTGCTGGATGAGTTTCTGCAGAGCCTCTCAGCACCTCTGGCTTCCCTGCAGCACTTGGGGCCCTGCCTGGTCCCTCTACCTCTGAGCTGCCTCCAGCGTGCTCTAGTGATGCAGGTGGGACTCGCAGCCAGTTCAGGCAGCATCATAATAGTGCAAATAGTAACTAACATTTGCTGGGTGTCACAGCGTGCCTGGTGTAGGGGAGGAAAAATAATTTTACCTCTACCCTTCGAGGTTCTTGGCTGAGACACTCCCCCCACACCCTGTAATAAAGACAGATTAACAAGAGAAAAACACACAAGTTTGATAACATGTATATCTCCTCTGTATGTGGGAGAAACCCAGGGAAACTGAGTCACTCCCGGAAATGTTCCAAGCCACCACTTTAAATGCCAATTTCAACTAAAGACAAAAGAAAATGTTGGGGAGTGGGGAGCCGGTTATGGGTGGTTTCCAGGAAAAGGTAAACCAGGAGAAGGTTGTTACACAGATTTGACTCTTGTGATTTACAGTCATCCTTCCCTGCCTGGTACAGAGGGAGGCATTTACAAATGGAGATTTCCGTGATAAATGTGAATGCCCTTTCAAAAGGGTAGCTTCTCTTTTTTTTTCCAGAGCTTTCCTTGTCTGCTGTTTCTTAATCAGCTGTTTCCGAATTAGCTCAAAATAATGCATCTTGGGGTGGCCTATTCTCCCCTTCACTGGACCGTTCCAAGCACTTGGCATTTACTCAGTTATTTAACTAGCAGTCACCTTACAGTTGGAATAAAGAGGACAACTCCATTTTATAAACTGACTGGACTGTTTGGAGTATCCTTGCTGACTCCCCTGAGCCAGAGACTTCAGGGGGACCGACCTGTGGGCCTTTGCCTCTTGGAACCTCAGCAGCCCTTCCCAACAGGGGGGCCCGTCGCTCCCATTCTCCTCCCAAAGTGTGATGTTCGGGAGGCTTCTGAGGAGGTGGAGGAACAGTGCTGTGCAAACGCTCAGCACCATTACTGTCACCGAAGGGGGATGGACGCTGGTGACCTGCATCGTGCCGTCCTCTGTAAGAGTCGTCACGTTTAATGACCTCAGACCTCTCCACTGCTCTTGACTACAGAACATCTGCGGGGAAATGGGTTGAGACTGCTTGTTTTATGAGCACCATTGCAACTACAGAATAGCAAAGTTAGAATTAGGGAGGTTCTGTTTCAGCTCATAGCAGTGCTAGGGCACCTCAGCAGAAAGGAGGACAGAACTGTAAGCCACACTGTTGCTCATTTCTGCCAGTCTTCGTGAGTTTGTGGCCGTGATGTGGATGACATCTCTTTATTAAACACATTTTGCTGGCCCCGTTTCCCTCTGTTTCCCAGGGAAGCCAAAGCCGTATGTCAGTCAAGTTCTCATCAATCTCATCTGTGGTAGAATGGAGCATTACATATGGTTACGAAAAGTAGACTTCACATCCCTCTAGAATGAGTCAAATGGAAACAGAAGCACAATTGTACTTATTGGAAGTAAAATGAGAAATAGACGACTTGGCTTTCTTTAGTAATTTCAAAATAATTCAATTCTTAGTTAAATATTAATTATCAGACACGAGCTAAGGATGCATTTTAAAGGTTGTGGGTGGTAATTCTTCCTGAATTATCTCTTGCAGAAAGGTTTTTATGTTCTCTATGTCACCCTATTGCTAGGAATGGAGGCTATTAGTTTTTGTGTTATTAATCCTGTAGTCACAGGTTTGTTGACCGTGGCCCCCGTGTCCTCATCCCGTCACTGATCAGCGTTTGAAGGTACAGGGGAGGCTTCCGGCTGCCTTTGCTGTCGACATGCCAGCCAAGAAGAGAGTCCCTTTTAGTTACTGCATTTTTTCAAAAGCTTCCAGTCAGGGTGACGGTAGCGTTTCCAAGGTGTGTTTTAGACGTAACCTCTGTCTTCTCAGGCAGGAACAAAGATGGCATGCACTAGCGAGTCTGGCTCCAACGCCTGAAATCAGCCCTTGGGGGGTATTTATGCGAATTCACAGCCACTCCTCTCCCTGCTGGGAACTGCACCCTGGCTCTTGGGGCGCCTGCAGTCATGAGCAATCCTGGGGAGACCCCACTCATCCCCCTGCCCGTCTTCCAGTGGTGGGTCTTTCTAGCCTGCTGTTGAGCGTGAGCAGTGACTCCCTCACGCAGAAGGCACCCTGACTCCTGAGGGGCTGCCCGACCACGGGACGATATGTCGTCAGCTGCTTGCTCGAGATTTCTTACCTGGCAGAGGCTGACAGTGGAGGATGCGTCCTTCGCTCCCTTTGCCCCTTGGACAGGAAGCTGCTCTGCAGAGAACTTTGAACATCAAACATGTTTTCTTCCCTCGCCTGGGTGGCAGGGTAACCAGACCTGCTGTAGGCCGTAGCTTTGTTTCTCTGCCCAGCAATGATGCTGCGTTTCCTGAAGGAAAGGCCTGCAGGGTGGGATTCAGGGTGCGGGTCGCCAGGTCAGACCCAGCCCTGTGCCCCTGGCTGCACGACGGGGGCCCTGGCTTCCCCCACTTCATGCCTGGAGGTCTACTCCATGGGGTGACTGTAAAGTGGGAGGGTGCAGGGCTACTGGTTAGAATGCTGCCTGGCACATAGCCAGATGAGAAAGAGCAGCCAAGTTAAAGAACTGTCCAGTATCTGCGATGCTCCAGAAGCTTCCTTACTTGATACACTGACGGCTCTCCTCGTGACAGTTAGCTGACCCCATCCGTGGAGCACCACGGTGGTGAGCACGCTATAGGGTGTCTCACTCCTGCACGATCCGGGAGTCGAGTCCTGGTGTCATTCCATTTTACATGGGAGGAAACGGTGGTGAGCAGACATTCAAGCACCAAGGACTTGAAGACGGGAGGTGTCTCCAAGTGCCAGATGCCGATTGTTGAAACCTGTTTAATAAGATAGATGACAGTAGAGCATATATTTAAAGCTCTCATTTGAGTAACAACCAGCACAACAAAATTCCAAGATGTTTTACAAATGTCTCCCATACAAATACTCATATTTGCAAAGATTCCGCAAAGATTTCTGCAAAAATAATTCTGCCTTTGTATTTTCACAAATGAAGAGTTCTAGTGACAGCGATGAAACAATTGCTATAAATATGTGTTATTATAGTTTTTGGCAGTATTGAAAGTTAAAGTGAATCTGTCTCAATATTATTATTATTATTGCCACTTTTTATTGCTGCATTAATCACCACACATACTGGGAGGGATTGATATAGTTAATTGTTTTTATAAACTTGGTGAAATAAGGCGCGATTGCAGGGAGACTGAGCCCTGACATGAGGGCTTACTTCAACAGAGGAGCAGACAGGCCACCCTGAGCTACAGATGACAGTTATTTCAAACATCGCCTTGATATTCTTCATCAGTTTTTTTTGTAGTTAATTGCACAGCCGTTTTTACTTTTAGTTAGTTTATAGAAAACATCTATGAGTTACAGTTTTAAAGTCTTATGTCTGCCAAGTTGAAGTGATGAGATCTTTTTTTTTTTTTTTTTTTTTTTTTT